TTTTACCATGAAGAGCCCTGAATCTTGATAACTGGGCCCATTTTAATACTTAGATTTTAACATAATATTTAATTTTGATCTTAAAGTGAGCATATTTTAATATGGAAAGTGACCAAAAATTATGAATTAGAGTGATGTCCTAAATGAGTCTCATATTAACAAGGAGATGGAGGTGGGAGTGGGGGTGACAGGTGTCGAGTGGTTTTAAACAGAACACAGCTGGCAGCGGTGATGGAAAAATAAATATGGGTAGATAGAAGTACATAATGTCTGTATACATACATATACATATACCCGTACATATACATATACACACACGTAAATACTGTTTGAGTGGAGCCTGCACATATACTTAACTATCGAAGAAAAGGGCAAGAAGTGTTGGTTCTGATCCCAAAATATATCCCAAATCTTTTCACCTCTGCGCATCTCTATTGCAATCGCTCTACGTCAGTCATCATTTATTAGCCAATGTTTCAATTTGGAATAAGGTTGGGTAGCATATAACCAAAGGAGTGGGGAACCAACTAAACAAGAATGGCTTAAACAAGATAGAAACTTACGGCTATTTCACAAACACAATAGTGGTTGACACAAGATAAGAATTTATTCCCTTTCGGTACTGAAAACCAGGTCACCTAGTCATAAAAAAAGGATGTTTTCTCTCATGCCTGTGGCTTCCAGCCTGTAAGGTGTCAATACCTGAGCCCCAGGTGTCTCCAGAGCCTTTTATGAATTAAATATTATCCACAGGTTGAATAAATAATGTATCTACCTTATATTTATTCTAAGGTATAATAGATATTTTTGCGATAAGTTGATCTTTTGTGGTTAATAAATCCTTCACAAATATTTACATATACACATATATATGTGAGTTACAAATTATATAAGTTGTATATATAAATTATATAAATTGTGTGTATGTGTACATCTGTATATATGTGTATATGCATATACCTATACATATATAACACATACATTGAGTGCTTACTCTAAACCATGTACTGTGACTGGCACTGAGCATAGAGCAGTGAACAGGTCAGGCCAAGTCCCTTGCCTCACCATGGAAAATAAGGTCAGTGAATAAATTAGCAAGGTAAGTGTTCTAGAGAAGAGAATCAGTGTGCTAAGATAGACAGTAACTAGAGGACGTGATTTTGGATAGGAAAATCAAGGAAGGCTTCTTTGAAGAAGTGACACTTGCACTTAGAATGAGCCAATGATATGAAGAACTTGGTGGTGAGGGGAAGGGAATGAACGTTCTAGGGGAAGGAAAAAGAAGTAGAAAGGACTTGTCCTATTTTAAAAACATGGCAGAAGCAGATTTGGCTAGAGCTTCATATGTATGGAGACTGATATAAAACCAGATTGGAGATAGGCAAAGGCCATCTTTTTCAGGGCCTTTTCAGGCTGGATATTATGCTACAATCAGCCGACGAGTTTTAAGCAAGCAGGAACATGATCTCTTTTACAATGAGAAAGAGTGCTCTGGTTCCTGTGTAAGGACGAGATTAGAGAGGCGTGAGGGTGGACAAGGGCAGTGGTCAGCAGCTGCTACGGGGTCTGGCCACTTGGTCAGCTCACGCAACATCCAGTTTCTCTTTGCTGTTTGGTAATACCCATTTCAATCTGCCCTGTTGCATCTCATCTAAAACACTACTTTTTCAGTCTCCGTGAAAGCTAGAGGGAGCCACGTAATTAAGCGCTGGACAATTAGGTTTAAGAAAAAGTATTACGCGAAACTTTCAGAAAGCTTCTGACAATGTTGAACTTTCCCTGAGCCTGTGCTCCTGGAAGACAGTGAGTGATGGCTAAGGAATCCTCCTCCTCTCTTGTTTTCTGAACCCCTCTCCTCTATTTGTGTTCCAGGAAAAAGGCTGCTTTCTCATGTCTTAGATAAGATTCCGTCCACACTTCTCACGACTCCCATAAGACTCTCAGATGTCCCTTGTTTTTCCCTGAACCTCTAAGGACAGGCACAGTCCCTCCAACTCCCCATTTTTTAAAAATTGAGATATAATTGGCATACAACATCCTATTAGTTTCAGTTGTATCCAACTCCCCATTCTTTGTCTCATGAATGATTAACAGATATTAGAAATGTTTGCCCCAAAATAGCTAAGCACAGATAACTGTTTCCTGCTCAGCTGACTAAGATGTCCCCTGACCGCAACTGTAAATCACTCCACCTGAGACTCTTCTACGCCTCCCTATAAACATCTAAGGCCACACATTGCGGAGACCCTCAGGCCTTGGGATCTAGGATATGCTTTTCATTGCTATAACCCGAATAAAATTATCTTCTTGTCAGATCCACATTCACACACTTATTAGTGTATTGTTATAATTATTCTATTTTATTATCAGTTACTGTTGTTAATCTCTTACTATGCCTAATTTAGTTTAACTGCATTATGTAGGAAATGTATGTATATACAGGGTTGGATACTATCTGCAGTTTCTGGGGGTGTTGGAACCTATCCTCTGAGCCTAAGCGGGGAACTACTGTATGTCAGACTGTGGAAAGGAGTATAAAAATATAGATTACAGAGCAGAATGAGATTAAGTGCGAGGGGCTTGACTGAATCTCAGGGAAGACTTTTCAGAGGTGATACTTTATATAGGCTTTAAAATAATGAGAATTTTGATTGATGGATGAGAGGAAATGACAAGGATGAAAGAATCTTGATCCAAATTGACCTCAACAGGCTGGAATAAGCAATCAATAGAACAAAAGTTGGCAACCTGCCGAGTTTATGGAATGGAAGAAAAGGCAATTAAAGTTATTTATCAAGGAGTTATTTATCAAGAAGAATAATGATACCGAGGGAAGAAATAGAGACTCTGGGAGGAGGAATAAATTAAAGATTTCGGTTGTAGCCAGTCAAATCAGAAGTAATGGTGAAATATTTAAGTGGAAATATCCTAAAGGCGGCCGGAATTACTGTCTGAGCTGTTAAAGTGAGGTAAGAATAGATATGCATTTTGAAGTTGAGAGAATGATTTGATTTCTGTGGGGGAAAAAAAATGCTGAAATAGCTGAGCTGATGGTTGAAGACTAGACGCTCCGAGGCGAATTAGTGGCAGAGTCGGGAGATCAGCCGTTGCTGCAAAGGGGCGTCGTTAGCTTGGGGCTCAGCATTTCTCGGAGCTTTTCCCCAACAGTTGTTTGGAGGAACACTGCTCTGCAAAATTTGAAAAGAAATGCCAACAAAACAAAACAAAACAAAACAATAGTGTTACATGCCCCAATGTCTTTGAGAAATTCTCGGTTTGGAGATCATCAGCTTCCTTACTCCTGGTCTTCACGAGGTGGTTAACGATAGATGTGTTACAAATCTTTAAGGGGGTTGGTGATAGCATGCAGTATTTTCAAAACATATTTCGCTGCAGAAAACTTGTATTATAGAATCTATTTTGAAGTCTGCCAGTTCAAGGAAATGGAGGCAGAGTGGAAGAAATGATGAGGGAGATAGGAGAGCCATCTTTGTATCACGGAAAAAATCGCATAAGCTACTAGTTCCTTCCTTCGTTCGGGGGTCAGAGAATCCTTTGGAAATTTGCTTGAAGCTATGGAATCTCGCCTCTAAAAATTGTACCATGTCCATATGTGTGTTGCTGTCTCTGGAAGCCCCAAATATGCCAAAGGTTAACAATAATGAAGCACTAATTTTTTTAATATACATTTTTACAAACTTAACTTTCTTTAATATGCTTATTGTAAAAAATATTAAGATAATAAAATGCAAAGTTGTATGAAATAAAAAGTAGTATTTCCCTCGGCCTTACTGCCTCCTACGTACTCCACCCCTTTTTCTCAGAGGTCACTTTTAACAATCGCAAACCCTTTGGGAGGACAGGGGCCTGTTGTCACACGTTGACTAAAGAGTAATTTCTCTTGGCAGCCCGGAGCTTTGTCCGGCGGGCATTTTAATGGCGGTGTGTGTGGTCATTGACGACGGGTATGGGTATGGGTATGGGTATGGGTATGGGTATGGGTATGGGTATGGGTATGGGTATGGGTATGGGTATGGGTATGGGGGGCAGGGATCCCTCTAACAGGTGAGGGTTCTGGGCTGGGGGAAGGGCAGTGGCACCTCTAGGGAGAAGTTTTTTGCCTCAAGTACGAATGCCTGACAGCAGAATAATAAACTCTCCACCTAGGGAGTGTTGGCGAGAGTGGGGCTGCAAGTGTCTGGCTTAAAGTTTCTACCAACTGAAACTTCCCACGACTGTTTGCACCGCGCTCAGGACGGAAAGACTTTAACGAAGGCGTGCTCGTTAAAGGACACACGCGGCAGGAGGGAGCGCAGCTAGAAAGGGGACCCAGACACAGGGCCTGGGAAGGCAGGAAGCTTGCCTGGCCCTGGAACCGGGCTGAAGAAGGGTACCGAAGGATTTGCTGCGGGGTCTGGCGGACGCAGCGGCCTCTGTTCCAAAGCGCCGCGGGGAACGCGGCTCGCGCGCGCGCGCGCGCGCGCAG